CTTCTAACTTTCGAATGGGGCCAGCACACTCACCACGCGCCTACGCTCGTGAGCAAAGACATAGTCAGCGGATGCTCCTCGAAAAAACGAAGTTACGACAAAAACGGAAGACTAGGTTTCCTTCTTTTTCATAAAGTAACAGACCTAGAAAACGCACCCGGGCATAATAGGCCAACAGAGAGCACACAGATGAAACCTCCCTTGAAGTCGGGAATATCTCGGCTGCAATCTGCAGCAGCTAATTTACATGAAGGCGTGTGTTCTAAGTGTGGCAAAACAATATTTATACATCTACGCAGCACGAAAAACTTAAGGTAAGAAGGAGTTGTATAATATAGAAAAGAACCAAAATAGCTGTAAGTCATACCCATGGGATATTGGCCATACAACCAAGGATACAGCCTGTATATGAACCCGTTGATTTATTCGCAGCTTTGTTTTCTTATATAGGTATCGAAAGAGTGGACATCGGGCCGTTACTAGTGACTGACGTGTCTGCGTAATCGTAAGCCTGACACAAAAAATTTCTAAGGAGTGGTAAAATGTAGCAGATACGAAGATGTCGGTATTGTTTGAATAACTGCTTGGTATAGATTTGCCATGTTTCAGTTGTAGATGCCTTCTTGACGCACGCTACTACCAAACTCGTATATTAATGTATGTGTTATCGATGTTGCAACTATGCCATGCAACTATGCAAAACGTTGCAACTATGCCATGGCAAATATTGTAGAATACAATACCTTACGCTCCGCGCAACATGGCTTAGTAACGCGATACGTGCGTCTCTCTTGACAGACCCTGAGGGTTGGTTTCTGGCCAGATAATCGTATTCGGTTTGAGTGCCGACCAGGTCTCATTTTCCAAACTGTTACCCAGCCGCTTCAGGCAAGAGTACCCAGGGCAATCTGAATTCGCACCGACAGCCCGAAATAAAATCCGTTTTGGTGCTCCGAGTACTGAAGTAAACAAGCAGGCGGATCGTCTGCTAGGCCGCACCATGTCGAAACAGATTTCTTATCACAGCAATAGGCCTTTATTGAAATCGATATGCTTCAATTGCGTCTGAATATGTTCTTCCTAATAAACTAGTTTTTATGGCTAGTTCACCACTTACCATTCAGCTTTCCAGGTGGCTTTCCAAGACGTTTAATTATTACCCCATCCAAAGGAGACAGCCGCTTCAATCGTATAATACTACTGGTGATTTTGTTATTACTATCTTCAATTGTTTCGCTAACTAGTTAATAAAAAAAAAAAACAAGGAAAGACGCTACTAGCCGACACTGCTTTTATACCAAATACCTAAATACACCGAATTTTCTCGGCTCATTTAGCTCTATAGTGGATTCAACGCAGAGTCGAATTCCGAATATTGCTTACTTTCGGTCCGGAACGTGCAATGCATGCGTGAACGATGAGCAGGTGGCACGGTCTAAGAGGAATAAGGCCGAATCCTGTGTTTCTAAAGTCCTTTAATCTTCAAAAGCTTACAGGATTTATATCCTGGATTAGAAATGACGGTGTTTTAAAGGTTAAACTTCAATGGTACTACAACGGGGGTACGGAAACGCTTTTGGTAAAAGTGAGGTAGCCTCATTAAATTTTTGTGTCGAATAGGTAAAGCCGGGTTAACTATAAAGAATTATTAGGTAAGAATGAACCAAGAAGCTCACCATCCGTATGATAAGATATTTAGGACATTATCTCATTGTTGTAAGGCTTGACGTTACAGAAACTGCTGACATTATCCAGTTTGTCAATGTTTGAGGCTGGCCCATCAGCATAGATGCTTATGTATAAATCTAAAATTTGTTTTTAGAATTTGCTTAGCGTAAGAGGTGGAAATGTGTGCGGATATCGACATACTGTAAAACCACACGATAGGTAAGCGCCGGAGATACCTCACATATTAATAATAATTATTGTATAAAAAAAGCAAATTATATATATATTTGTTTTTTTGCAGCGTACTCGAAAAGCAAGTAGAATCGCGTAAAGTTTTCTTCACGCTTCGACTATAACTAAACATTTAGTCAGTAATAAGCATGATGAATATATCAGAAGGCTGGGAGCCCCTAACTAACTCTATTCCAATGCAACAACATCTATACAGTACAGATACATTTCTAGTATGTATTGAGTTTGTTTAGTATATATACATATATAAAAAATAGTATCCAGTATATTCTTTACCAAAGCTGGAACTTCTTAGTGGCCTTATCCCGACAGCACGATCAGCGGCGCGGTGGGCCAAACACGCAGCTGTTTTTATGCGTGTCTGCGTAGCACGCCGTTCCGTAACTACACAGTGCAAATGGTCAGTCTTCGGTAATCGTTGAAGCATTATATATAAATGTTACGTCTGCTATTGTAACTGAGCATTGCTTCACATGGGTCTTCGAGCCCAGGACGACGTCCATTTACGTTCAGCTTCGAACCATGTTTCCAGGGTTAGCACACACAGGCTATCACTTGTGCTGCCAAAAGGAGCGGACGCAGACATAGAAGACAAGACGCCAGCCTAACATTGGTCGCAGCCAATTCATAATTGTTCATCATTGGAAGACCTTGGCGCCTGTGTTGTTGACAGAATGAGTCGATTGGTCTCAAGTTGTACTAAGAATATTTGACGCCGAACAAGCTTTTTTGACGAATTTTAACATAAAAAGGAGTATAAACTATCAAAAAAGATTTGAAGCACAGCAAACGTTACCTTTTACGTACGAACAAACCTAAATACGGACATAAACGTTGTTTTTGTATAGTTGAATACAATTGCCTATTTCTCTGCAGATAACCACGAAAATACCCATATGCTATAGTACACTGCTTTGCTACTGAACGCTAACGAGGCGATCCATGAGGGGATCTAGGCAAGCTGTCGATTATCGAAAGACGCTTACACGATACTGATGCGATTATAAGGAGTGGACAAAGGTTTCTGACGTGTAAAGGAGTCCACAATACTTAAGATATCGTTGACTCTGAGAACGGATATAGAAAAAATGACTCGTAAAAAAAGCCCTGCTCTGCGCTTGACGAGTGGTAATGGTAAAAGGTGACGTTGGGTATATATGCTCGTGACGTGAGTACAGCATCACACTTCCGTACAACATATACCAGTTGACGCAAATGGATTCCTCGTGGACATTCAAATTTAGCAAAGTTCCCTATAGACTGAAAAAACCTCAAGGAGTTCTTTTTGGCGTGATTCTCAATCTTTATAAGTATGCATCGGAACTCAGCCAACTATTCGTTCATTGAGTCACAAATGTAGGCCGTTTGGCAATTGCATCTTTTAGTTGTTCGAGGGAGACACCATAGTGATTTGATTATGAATAGCCACTGTCCTTTTCAATTTGCTTAGAATATTGCTGACGCTCCTCAGGTCAAGGACTTCGTTTCAACTAACTGAACCAGTTAAGACTTGAATTAAGCTGCTAATTACGTTAGCTAATGCACCGATGCGGTATGCACGTTTTTTACGTACCTGATGGCCGTCCGCCAAGGGATTATCGACACAAGAGCTGGTTATCCATTGCCCACAATGAACTTGCCAACAAAAGAGAAAATCAGCAAAATGTACTAATTAAGATTTAAAGTTGTCCGCACATCCCAGGAGCACGTTGCCTTAGATTTGACACTGATGTTATTTATTTTTAGCTTTATAAAAAAGAAAGTGTATGAGCATCATCTCATTTTGTTATCGACCACTCGACGTCGTGGCGCCCAAGAAGCCCTTAAATGCGATCGGCTCTCGTTGCCTTCAAGACCGAGGATATTTTCATCGCCCGAGGAAGAGCGTTCTTTTTTGCAACGTATAATTCATCAAAGGCTCCGCCTCCATAATGCGTCCGCTACTTCTCGAAAGCTACCACTGAACGCAGCTGCCGCGCGTCTTACGCCAACATATAGTGGAGTCACGTACAGGGGATTAGCTGTACGTGATTCCCGTATATCTATCCATCTGATAACAGTACACTGGATCTCTCGATTATTGTTGACATCGAGACTCCATTAGGTTACGCATCGTAGCTGATCGATTCTAGACTGCGTACAATATATATATATGTATAGCAATTTACTTGTATAAATTAGTACAAGTAAATCGCTTACACCCAGCTGATTGACTTACTCCAAATAAACCAGAAAAGGTCTACATTTTATATTTTTCCTCTATCTACTGATGAACTAATGCGTCGCCATTTTGGCTATATCGTTTCAGATATCAAGATAATGTGATTCTATACTACACGCATGCCCACGAGGCAGCGCCGATTGCAACGTGGAACCAGATTTTCACAAACCTGACTATACATGTAGGTGTTCCAAATGCGGGGAAAATTGCAATAGGATCACCCGTTACTCCCACCCCCCGCCCCCGGGCATCATCTCTAGGACATTTGCTAAATCTCTCAAATCACTCAAACAAATCAAGATCAGTTTATGGTCGCAACAAGACTCGTATGACCCATAAGGTGGAGTGTTTCATGTGGCTCAATATATTTCAGATGCTGTGTCGTTGACCTATGCTTACGAAATTTTCTACTACTAAAAATCTAATTGATGATATATATTAGTCCAATATGTCAAATCAATTATTTTTTTTAAATGATTGCTGTTTATATGCTATTCGATAGTTTTGTATTATTATATCTGTATGTGCGTAAATCTATTTTAAGAAGCGGCGAAAAGCAAAAGAGACTTTTCTTCAACTTGTTATTAAAAACGAAATTACTGTGTGAGTTGAATTTCTTTATTTATATGTATTGCTGAAACGGACAGCGCGTTTGGTGTTTGTACACGGGTGTTGAAGAGTAGCTCTATACAATAAACCTTGTTTAGACATTAGGTGAGCTAATAATAGTTGAGCATATATTGATAGTTGTCGAGCGTTCCACGTTTACGTCATCTTCCCAGCCAGAGTCCAATCAGTGTTACGATAGCACCTATTTTAGCTAAAAAATCGTGACCAATGCAAAACAAGACACAATGATTGGTTCCAGCCGGGCTCGAACCGGCGACCTTTTGCGTGTAAAGCAAACGTGATAACCGCTACACTATGGAACCACGGGGTGTTGTGAAGTGGTAACATAATAGCCGCTGAATTCTTGCTTTGTCTCTTGGTCAACTGAAGAAAATCTGCGAAAGGATTTTAGATATATGAATCTACGCGTCAAGATGAATCGTCGTACACTTCCATTGACAAATCTCCTATTCGGCTGCATCTATAGTAACGAATGGACAAACGAATGGATAACTTTACATTGGATAGCCTGGATAAGCCCCTTACTTAATGGTGAGTCATGTATATAATGAAAAGAGATTGCGGCCACCATAGGTACACCAGAGCAGATGTTCACTATAATTTTATCGGTCTATGACTTATTTAAAGTATAATTAAATATATTATTATTATTATTTGAGCGTTTTAATATTGTTAATAAGGAGCGCTAGCTTCAAAAAAAATTTTAGCGTTGCGAATATATCCGAGACTAATCTGCTTCTATTGATTTATGATACGCAATACAGTGGGCTCTGCTGGCCATTCTCGTCATATTCGTATGTGCCTACCAAAGTGAGCAGTTCTGAATCGCTGATGGTAAAAACAATCCGTCCGTCGAGCGGTAGCCTAACCATGATTTTGAGGTATTTCTGAAACAGGCTTTTTTTTCTACTTAAATACGTCAGTTGTTCACTGTTATATTCAAGAGGTGCTTAGTGAGATAAAAGTAATGTGTGTACCCATTCTAAGGAGCGTCCACCGTTTTCATGATTTTCCTTTGATTTATTACGTCTGCCTATAATCTCAGACCTATTTACCCACTCGTCTCGTCTCTGTTTGAGTGATTAGTATCATTTATAAATTCGTGTATGGACTACAATGCTATCGTGCAAGCGACGTGTAACCAACAGATACTACAGATATCTTACAAATATCTGTTTTTGTTTTAAAATACAACATATTTTCTAAGTTCGACCTCAGAAGCAAGCGCTGGTTAAGCCTGCACGTAACCTGATAAAAAACTACATTAAATTCGCGCTATCTAATCCCCGCTGTTTGTACATTCATACAATGCAATAATATAGGTATCCCAAAAAAGACTTCGCACTTGTACTATTCAGACGGACCCGCTTTCCAGCATAAATCGCAAGAAAAAATCATAAAGAAAACCAAATCAATACTAGGGGCACCCCGTGTAGGGCAACCTGGGATGGATGGCATCGTGAAATATGTCATCTTGCCAGTTATGTTAGAAGGCCGGAAGGTAATGTACATAGGTTCTGTGCAGCACGAATTAATTATAGGTACCTTATTGTATCCTACGAGCCAACGGCCTGAACATTAAGAGGATATACAAAGTTCCTTATAGTGTATAAACTGTACTTCTGGCGAATGAACGTAATAGGTTAAGAAAGCACAAAACCAAATATCAATATAGACTAATGATGGCCTATAATAAGCATTGATTCAATTGCTGAATATTTTCTGGTTATCCATATTTAGCATGTCATCTGCACGACAGACACATACCCGACTCCGCTGGATGCCGAAGAACTCAGCTCACCGAAGCTTTCATTGGTAAACGTTTTGTTTTCTCGAACTGGAAAGTGCTACTATGATTTTTCTCCTGATAAAGCGATAGTATCGCTCCTCAAGGAGCAAAGAGGTACTTTTATTGACGCCCTAGCTCTAAAAGTATTTCATGGCCGCCTACACTGGATCACGGTAGACCCTGGATATTCAATAGTTTCCTTAATAGAACCGAAGATAAATGCCCATGAGAACTATTAGTATAGATATATTTCTACAGTATAGTCCGTAGAAGCTAAACACACGGTGTCACCAAAAAAGGGATGGCTTATATAATGAAGAAAAGAAGAATCAACAATCGAGCCTAAGTATTCATCGTTAAAAAACACGATCTACTGCTGTTTACTATCAAACAGAGCCGATAGCGACAGGCGCATATTCCGATATCGTTAAAACTACGAAGTTACTAAGTACAAACGAAACATTTGAATAAGTTCTTGCTTTTGTGGATACAAGCCTAGATCATATTTTCGATTTTAGGAACAGGAAGCACCTAAATAAGTTTGCCCATTAGTATTTCAAAGGACGCTACTTAAACGTACTCAAAGCGTGTAGAAATAGAAGCACGGTTACATTATATAAGCCCTGTGAATATCTCCCTTCCGTAGTATTTCATTACGCAACTTTGCAGCAGTAGAAAGTCGACATTAGTATAGAAACTATTATAAACAGGCTTTGATTCGTGCCTCAAATATTACTGAGTGGGCATTTCTACCCCCTGGTCATAACCAGTCCTCGAGTCAGGCAAGCTGTATGAATAGCCAGTAGAACCTTTCTTCATAGAGGATTATTGACCGAATAGAAGAAAGCCATAAATGCATTTACGTATGAAATCAGACCATTACTATAATGTATTTTAAACGTAGCGCTTAACTGCAATAGTGGGCATTTTTATTTTGAATGACCACAGTTTTAATTAGAAAAAATACACAACACTTTACCATTAAGAAGATCATATAAAATAAGCACAACAGAAGAAAATTACGTATATATACAGTGTTGTTAGAAGAAAATTAACCATTGGTAAAGACTAATATACTTGACGTTGCCGCGGTACCTGAGGTTCTATAGTTTACCATTTGAGCTCAGATGTAAATAAGGTAATATCGATATTTTCATTGTATTAGCCCCCCTTTGAAACATTGGACTTGACGGTCTTTCCAACACAAACCTGAGCCAAATCGTCATGGGTCTATCTAGCTCACGTACGTCGACTTGATACCAATAGTGATTCAGACTGCCCGAATTGGCCGAAATCATACAGTCATTCATTGACGTTACCACAACCAATCAAAAAGAGACATACCGCTAATTTACAGGTAACAAATTCTTATCGGAAAATCCTTTTTCCACATTTTAGCAATTTTTAACGCCGCGATCGTTGAGGTTTAGCTGTTATTTATTTTTTTTTTATGTATACACCTATATGTTCGAGTACAATTGCATTCGAATCGTCCTTAAGAACCGAAATTTTACGGTGTCTTCGCACTTGACCACTGCGCGTAAGCGTTTGTATTACTTGATAAGACGTAAAAATATGTTTCATTAAATCACGCAGTAGTTCTAAAGCTTCAACTTAGGTAATTGTCCAAATTACGATTAATTCATAGTAATCAGCTTGTGTAACTTAGCCTCGAAAGCAACAAGCTAACAAGAGAAGAGCTTATCAGTCCACCGAGTCCTCCTTATAACTAGCCCTGACTACAGATTGCGAATCTTTACGACATTGGATAGAAAGATACGTTTAGGATCGACGAACCCTGAGACCGATTAGTGCCTTATATAGATCACGAATGCTCGACTTCCCATAAGCCAATGTCGCCTCCTTCCTTCTTCTCAAGGACGAATCATATAGGCCTTCTGAAAACAACCACAACAGATGATTTATACGTGACAAGCTGAGGAACCAATCATCCGTCGACTTGTTCTATTAGTAAAACGTGTGGTTATTGAAAGACCTTCACACAGTTCTTGTCTGCAGTAATTATGATAACGGGAAGACATTTGTGACGCCATCCGCCGCTCCTCATATCACCAACGAAGCAACCTATTTCGAACCATACGCTTCTTTAGTAGATAATGATTATTTCATATTTTATACCTATATTTATTGTATGGGGCGGTTACATCGGTCAAATCAACATGCTTTTCTCCATTTGATAAAGGTCGAATAATAAACAACGTTCCGAGCACTGTCCCTAATGCATTTATGATTCCGCCTGTGGTATACCAACATCGATAAATGAGCAAAAACTTATCGTTTCAACAACACAGGAACTATATTCGAATCAAGCGAGGCTACGAAAACCTTAGTTTGGGAGTTTAAAACTTTTAAGATTTCCACCTGACATTATTCTGCCGCCGTACATCTGCCTATCCATGTACCCAAGTTATCTTAGCACGTACCCACCGTTTCGCGGTATTCAATGCGATTATAACATATTGTGGCTAGGGCAAAATGCAAACGTGAAGACTCTCTCCAACGGCAGTTGTTCTCCCATTTTGTCGTGCTCACCGTGCCTGCCTATCATTCGAATGGATATTTCAACTTTGTTGCTCGCGCAAAGTTGCCGTTTCTTGTTTTGGACCAATGAGAAAGTGCAAACAAGACACAGGTCAAAGTATCTCGAGCGCATCTCATCGAGAAGAGGCAACATGGCCACCGAAGCGTTGTATCTTATGCTGCTATGCCGTCATCAGATTTACCGCGACCAGTTGGCGACTACCGGGTCACAAAGCTACCCATTGGAAAGCGTATTAAGCGAACGCTAATAGTGGTATATGGTAGAAACTATTTCACCATTTGTCTGCGTACGGGTGAGGGCGTTGCCAATTACAGAGGTAATGAGAAAATCACTGTGCTTTTTTTTGTTTTTTTATCTTCGACATTAAAACGAGGGAATAATCAATCTGTCTGGTGACAAACAGTCAGGTCGGCCAGAAATACACTAACGGTTGACCCGGTTCGACTGGATATTGTTACTGTGCCATTGTTATTATCGTGTAGCTTAGTAGGCTAAAAATTACGTTCTCATTTGATTGATTTTGTATAGTTATGGTGCCTGCCGTTAGTTATCTGGGTGTGCTTTAACGGAGACAGCATTTGTCACATGATTGTATTTCTTTGCCTGGTCATCTGATGAGGGTACGTATGTGTGTGTGTATGAAGGACAGGACTACACTTGTCCTGTACGGTTGGGCTTGCTAGTGGACAGGAACATGGGTGTACTGCGAGTTACGTTAGAGTAAGATATACAGGGCAGGCGGATTTGTGTTGCTTTTAACAGCATACCCCGTTACAGTGGGCTCCCGAAAAGCTACTGATATCAAAGAGTTGTTATTGCAGCGCTTGACAATTTCATGAATAGCATCTTAATAAATGTGTACTTTGTTTCGTCGGTTTCAAATAATGGTCAAGGCCACCATGACCTGGAAGTGCATAGTTTTTGTATGTCTGTCGCAGAAGCATAGTCTCCAAATATATTGTCAAATTTCTATTGCGCTTAGTAAACTAGTACTCCAGTGATGATAGAGTTTTGTCCATATAGTACCAGCGTAAAACTATAAACAGTATCAGCTACAAGACGTGAAGTACTAACCCGCCAGAATGGCGCCGTCGGCCGCAGTTAAGTTATACTCTCTAAACATTTGCTTTATGTTTACTTTAGTCAGAGCAATCAACACTTACAGACACCTTAATAAACATCAATCATTTCTATAGAGGTACACATGCATACGTATATATATATATATATATATATATATATGCATGTATACATATATATACATATGTGTGTGTCTAGCCAAACGTACCGGCATTTCAATTTTGGATTACGGTTTTTCGAAGCGTGCCCTGTGGTGAACGTAAACAAACCGGAAACGTTTCTCACTTTGAATAACCACTAGAGTAAATAGAGTATTTCACCTTGTCTCACATACATTGCGGATGATTGTATCGCCATGTTGTTTGGACGATTGACGTACGGCGTATATTACAGGCGCGGATCATTCGAACTATGTATGAAGAACCGTTGTCACTTTTGAATTCCTTCATTATTTATGCGTTTTCTGTCCTCCCACGCGCTATCGAAACGGAGAATGCAGAAATTGTAGAAACTATGTGTTGCGCGTCATAGAGTTACTGAACGGTAGAATCGTATAAACTCGAATATAACAATATGATACATTGCCTGTGCACGACGATAGTCTTCTATAGTGATTAATTAGCGACTTTAAACATGTTAGCGCAAGCACCGCCCTATAAAAAGATCCATATAATGTTATCTCGTACTATTAGGTCAACGGCGGTTACGGCTGGCGATCCCCTAAGGCAGCTAATCTCTTGGAAGACATTTTCCAAAACGTCTTGTTTTCACCTGACAAGGTAAATATTAAATAACCCGCTCCAGGCCTAAGTGTCGTGGTCGCTCTTTTCAATTTACAGACGGCATTTTTTATCGTTTCTGATTCAGCCTAACAAGGAGGAAGCGTCTTGAAATCAAGCAAATGCACCTAGATTTCTGCACGCTTATTAACTCAAGCCCTTCCCCACGTCAACAGTTTGAGCTACAAAGATCGACATAAAAATTTTAAAAAATGCTTTACTATACTTCTGTCAACAAATAATATAGATGACAGTTTCCACATAATTATTGCCTGTTTTTTTTCATTGATTCTAAGATGAATTCCGGTGTTAAATTGGGCTTCAGGACTGAATAAGCCAATAGCGCAGTGTGATTTTAGAATAATGTGCTCTAAATTTACTTTTGTTAAATCTGTTCCTTTATTGATACCATCACGCAATGATTAAACTGGGTCTGGGAAAAAAAGCAGCTATATTTGGAGCAGTATATTTCTCTTAAAAATGCTTCTGAGGATCTTCTTATTTGAGCTTCGATAAGAAACTAAAATCGAAGACGACAGCAAGTATCCTTGATCTCAATTGACGGGTTCTTTGTGCAAAAGAAGAGTTAAATTAAAGTGCGATTTAGCCTGAACATGATCGCTTCTATATCGATCAATAGTTGTTTTTATATCTGGTAATGTCTTAATTTAGCATCGTTTCAGGCGATTGGTTCTTTTCCGTTCTTTTGAACGAATTGTGTTTGCGCCCGGTTTCGAACTTGAGCAATCAGTTCGCTATCCGTAACTTTAGCAAGTTAACACTTTATGACTGTGTCATCGGATTGCCTATTTCTTATCATTCATATATTGTAAACAACATCGACACAAAAAAGGGAGCTGTTTTCCAGAAAGAGATTTTTTTGACGGCCATTGTCAGATGACGATGGTCATCAAGATAAGATTCACGGTCGAGTTAGTTACTTGATGTTCCTCCATGTTTTTTGATGCAGGTATAACAAGAGGCCACTTCTGAGATAAGCCCCCGGGGAGTTGCAAAATGAATATGAGCTCGGTCTGGACATTCTTCTTTGAGGGGCTTTATTGTTTTCTGTTATTCACTTTCCATACGGTGAAGTTTCTGTGGCACCAAGGCGAACGAGACGGCAGGGGCAAGCTGCCTTCGATCAATAACCGAATACTCACCTATTCCGGAGTACAGATAGCTTCGCTGATTCGGAAAAAAATTGTGAGTACTGGTTTGTTATGGTCTGAAAGGCTTGTGAATAAAGCTGCGGGAAATGACTAAAGAAACGAGAACAACGACCACGGATCGCTGGTTCCGTTCCGTTATATTTTCAAGATATAATGGACTAAAGCAATCTATAGCATACAATTATCTCAACAGAATGCAGAATTTATGAGAGTGTTTAACATTAAAATGGGATATTGGACTAGGCGTACAAATGAAATGTGCGTCTTTGAATTTTATGCATGATGTCCACTCGATGATGTTCGATGAAGCTCAGTAACTTCAGTGGATTTTGTCCGGATATCGTCATTTAGCGAACTTTTTGGTACGACCGAGATTAAAATAGTACCAAAACACGCTTACGCAAAGTTTCACTTCGAAATCACGAATGTTGAAGTCGGGTGCATAGACTTCATATAGTGAACCTGGACAATAGTCACTGGAGTAATATTTACGTAGACACACATTACTAATAAACGATATGAACATTTTCCGTTTTTGGTTTGAATTGTTAAAGATGAAAAATTATTGTGATGTTGCCTGATTTTACGAATATCTGTACAAACACAATTTTCATCTTCGCTCAACAGCGAGGCACATTATTTGTGAAATAAAACAAACGATGTGTTACGCGATGGCAGGGAGTAGTCGTACGATGTATATCAATGTACATATATGTATATACAGTTTGAGACCTTGCCTAAAGAATGCCTCGTAACATAGTAGATTGCCACCGGGGGTTCGATTCTAAGCTGATTCTTGGCTTTATTTTAGTCATGGCTCTCCAATCAACTAATAACTATTTTTTTCTTTTTTTAAATGTTTGTGCATCAATGAAAAATCGCATAGATCACATCCGAAGAGGTCGTACGCGTTTTCATTGCCCGAATCGAACAGGTAAATCCGCTTCTCAATGCTGTGGTATCAGAAAGATTCGAACAAGCGCTAGAAGAGGCTCGACGAGCTGATGAACTCGTACGAAACTCGACGGCATCCCAGTTAGCCAAAGAAAAGCCTCTTTTGGGTGTGCCAATCACGACAAAGGAGTCAAATTCTGTTGAAGGTAGTATACGATTGTACATCAAGTATATAATTGGTATTTAGAGATTATGAAGCCGCTAAAGCCAGCCAACTGTGGACATAGAGGCAACAATGAGCGCTGGACCAATTCGTGCCATTTGACATGACTCTGGTAACCTGTCATTTGTCAACAATGATTGTTTCCTCCTGTACAACATATACTGGGTAAACAGAACGAAGTATGCTGCGGCAGGTTTCATTTGCTAGTTATGTACAACTACGCATAAGTGAACCTTAGTGACCTTAAGTAAAACTGTTTTGTCTCCCATACGCCGGAGCTTTTGTGCACTGGCTATGTAGACGTTCAAAAAACATACCGATGTAGCGCCTTGCCTCGCCATTGTGCATACAAAACGATGCTTGTTTATCTCGTAATATAATCTAGTTCTTCGTACAGGGTCAGATACGTCGTATCAGCTATAGCTTTCCACGGTAACTAATTACATGACTAATAATTTATTCGGTTCAAATCAGATATAGTGGCTGTGAACAGTTGATAAGCCGGTATATCTATGACAATGATTGTATTGATAGATTGGCAGATGATAAAGATAATTCAAAACGAGTTAATTATAATAATCGCACGATTACGGATACATCCGTATCTCCATGAGTGATTTCATCAACGGCGGCAAATCGCACCAGTATATTAAACAAAACCGTTAGATACCTATAGGATTCCGGGTCAAAATAGTTGAACTTAATTATCGTCTAGAAAAGAACACTGTCCCTTTAGGATGGTTAGTAACAACGATATGGCTGTGAAATCTCTGAAAACGAGACAATGCGAGACCTTTTGAAATTTCTTTCGCTTACTACCCTGTTGTGCAGGACAATGCGCAGATATCGGCTCAGTTATCCATAAGGGTGAACGGTCGCCGCAGGACTCCGTTTGCATTCGAATGCTTCGATCCGCTGGGGCAATACCACTGTGCGTAACAAACGTGCCCGAAATGACGATGTGGATGGAAACGTCGAACTTGATTCACGGCACAACCAATAACCCATACGACCTTCACCGCACCTGTGGCGGATCCAGTGGTAACTATACATTACACACACACGGAAAAAAAACGCCGTGATGGAAAACAACGAAAAACGCCAAAAGAGGAAAATGGATTTTGAAAACGGGCCAATTATACGTCGAGAGTCCAGAAATTCGCTAGCCATTATTAATAATGATGATCGAAGTAGTTAATGCAATTCACGTTTTTCCGGTCTCCTTCTGCTACATTTGACGCTGCTATAATCAGGAGGTGAAGGAGCGCTTCTCGGAGCAGCTGCTTCAGTTATAGGTGTCGGCAGTGACACCTGCGGTTCGGTCCGGTTTCCGTCTGCATGGTGTGGCGTGTTTGGCCACAAGGTAATGAATACAGCATGAATTTCTGCTCCAAAATATTTCTTATTTCTATATCTGGCCAGGGCATGTCCTATCAAAATAACTGTACAATTATACTGACAACTAGTTTGTCAAGGTCTTTGCACACCTTACAATTGAATGCGCAATGGATAAAAGTTTAAAATGTTTTTTGTTAATTTCAAGATGGAAGGAGCCTAATTTAAATATCTGCTGGTATAATTTCTTTAGCCATCTGCTGAAGTAATCGATATCCAAGGTCTCGTCCCGGAACCTGCGAAAGGTATGGCACCAATCGTATGCGTCGGACCAATGACACGATACTCAGAAGATCTTAGTCCTGTACTTCGGCTACTTGCCCGAGATCCATCTAAACTACAACTTGACACGCCGGTATTCATTTGATCTTCCCTGTTTCGTTGCCTGAGCCTAATAGGTAGTTGAGTCAATTTCACGTTAGTTGTAGGTTGTTAGTTGTATTCAGTTATATATCCGTGATCTGGACTGAGATGCATGACACGTTCTCGAAAAGAATATCTCTAGAAAACGTTTTATCTTTTCGGTTATTTCTGGAAATCCGTCGCAGGTGGACATTTCTAGGTTGAACATATACTACATGGATGAAGAGGGCGCATCGTACTTTTCATGTGTTCGCTCTGACATGCGTTACTCCGTAAGGAAGGTCGTTTCACATTTAGCTGCAACGCACGGCTGCGAAATTCAGGAGATGCGACCTACCGAACTCTTTGCCGATGGTTTCACTTTCTTTTTGTCGACGATGGAACGTCTTGGAGTGCCGCCAACGCGCTTCTTGTTCAAGTTGCCTCCTAAAGTGTGTTTATGTTTATTACGCCATTATATATATATGTCCATATATATATATATACATAGAGAGAGAGAGAATGTTTTTCTAGCTTGTTTGCATCAAGCTTGTTGGATCATAGTTAATTTATTTTTATATGTATAGCATTAGCAAAGAGGTGGACAAATAAAATGTACAATTATGAACGACGGCATTGTAAGCACAAGCGAGACACAAAATGAGCTTAGAATGATAATGGAGCTACTCTAGCGGATCCTGCAGAGGCCTGAACACTCTTAATAGGTTTCTACCTCAGAGAATATTTATATTATATATTCTAATGCTTGAACATTACCAATGTCCAAAGGAGTTATCGGCCGTAAGCAACTTCTCGTTATCTAATTTGTAAAGGCGGTGCTGATTAATTATTAATTTGCTGATTTGCTTACTCGATGTACTTGAAACCCGTTGCCTTTGCAGGGTATCAATCCAAAGCGGGAACTGTTCCTTAAAGTGGCCGGATTGTCCTATCATACGTTGGCTGCTATTCGAATGTCGTGGATTGATAAACGATACCGCAAAAAGTGTTATGCCAGTAGGAGACGTCGGAACCTGGACAGACTCGAAGAGCTTGAAAGGAGGCTGAACGCCATGCTCGGAGATAATGGGGTGCTCATATTTCCCGCGATGCTCAGTGCTGCTCCCTTCCATCATGCGGTAATCAGCACTTTAACGCAACACAATCAATTAATATATTTAGTCAGCCCCTTGCTGCAGGTTTTAATTAAGCCTAATTTAGACTGGATACAAAAAAAAAACCTAAATATATTCGACTAGCCAATAATTTTTCTTCTACACTCCAGCCACAGCTACACCCGTACGGATTTCTGAGCTTAATCGCGCCCTTCACGGTCCTTAAGATGCCTGTGACTATATGTCCGATCGGACTCAACAATGAGCGAGTACCACTTTCCGTTGCTGTGGCATCCCGAAGGTAGAGACGTTAATGAACCCGTTGCAGTTTTAGGTGGAATTTTGATTTAAAATGGTTTGTCATAATTGGAGGTAAGCCGAAGAGCCAGTTATATTCAGTTCAAGGGTCACCGCCCAAGGTCGTTTTGCATATTTACGCTATTCGGTGACTCACTTAGGGCATATTCTATTTAATTGATCCTATAAAGCTAGCCGAAGAGCGGAAAGTAAAAGCATCATTTTTATGGGTAAGATGCACACTGAACAACCTAAAGATCGGAGCGAATCTCAACGCAAGCAAAGCAAAAGCACTTAGAAAAGTATTGCTTGGGGATCGCTATAGATTTCCTAATATACTTTCCTCTCTTTACTTGACTATTCCCTCAGGTTCAACGATCGATTGACGCTGGCCATTGCACGCGATCTCGAGAAAGCTTTCGGGGGCTGGAGACCTCCCTGCCCCTTAAACGTCTATGAAGATACTGAAAGCAATTAAACAACGAATTTTTTTTGCAGTAAATATGTCATACTGTTCGAACGACTTTGATTTATTTTGCCCTATATTGTTATGCTCAGTTCTGACGCGAATTGAAAGGTTGGAAAGAGAATCCACCGTTAAACCTTTGATGTAAAGCTAAAACGGAAGACTGTTCCAAAATTACCAGCTTGTAATGGTGCTACGCTTTATTATCATCTAAAACGTTCTATTTTATTTTGTCGTGTCTCGCTATAGCTTCCCACGTATCGTAGGTGTTTGTAATATACACGAAAATGTTCACGCGGATATATCCCTCTGCAAAAAATCTTAGAAAAAGGCTCTGACTGTGACAGGACATTTCAGTGTTTAACGCCTATTCGGAATAGGATTCTGAGACCTTTTGAAAATAAGGAATTAAAAATTAATCGGTGTTTTTGGATTCCTAGACAAGTGTAAAGGGAGTGCAGCAGAACGTAGTAGAAGGCGTGTGGAAACGTCTATGCAGACGGTAGATTCAGGTCGTGAACGAGAATTAGGAATAAATCAAAACTGGGCGTTCACAGTGCACTATTGCAGCTCAAAGTTAAATAAAGGAAGACAACTGGTAATAGAAATAAATATAAAGAACGAGTTATGGCTATTTGGAGGAATTGTATGCGTCATTTTCCATGCCGTCCCGGCTAATGCTTTAGAGCAAGCGATACTTATAAAATCGACGGCAATTTCTGCTATTGTATCATCTATTTCTCTACCTAGTGTTAACAATAATTAGGACCTCAAAAAAAAAACTGCTCATCGGAAGACTGGCGAGATTACCTTCACCCTGTAATCAGACACTGCGTTAAGATACAGGCCATGTCGACTCTCTATAAAGAAAATATACTAATAAACCATTGCTTGAATTCTGGTTCAGTCGACTGCTACCTCAAGTGTCCTTATTTGATCGGTAGACCTAGCGTCTGTGACCTACCGCCAACAACATAGCTTGTGTAGGTAAAAGAAAATTGATTTGTATTGAAAATAGTCAACTCCGAATCCAGGATATGAAGCGATTCTGTAGAGGATATATAGTGCCTATTTTATAGCTATTTCATGTGCGCTATTTGCAGCCATTTTTCTTTTTGTCCTTTAACCAAAAATATCCCTAATTTCAAGCTTCATAATGAAATGAAGAAGTGTTTATGTTTACGTGAAGCCACTGCAAGCCATCACGTATAGTTCAAATTTTATACATCGTTCAATAACTCTCAAAGCATTTACGTCATTATTTATTAACGAACCACTCAGTGGTGAAAATATTTTTTTATTACTTAATTTATAT